TCCGAGGTACACAAACCGCCACACCACGGTAAGGTCCAGTCTCTTCGTGACGGTATCATGGATCCTACTTCGTCTTGCTCTTACACATCTACATATACCCTCTCCCAACCCGGTTCTGTTGTTCTTCCCATGAAACATCCGGCAAAGACTCAGCAGTCATCATCATCATAATCAATGTTAACTGTAAGAACCACGTACTTGTCGCACGGTGGTTGTAGCTGCCACAGTTTCATTCACCGATGATTTGGGGAGGTGAGGTAGATAGCTGCGCATCGAAGGCGGGAACTGATAAATTCGTGAGTAAATATATATCTGTCAGGGGACTTTTCAGCAGTAAGTCGACGGCTACAACAGTGGCATACGGAGATGGCTGGAGAATCTTAAAACATCAATATCCGCTGATATTTGCAAAGCATCATTAGAATACACTGATCAGACAAACACGTGGCGCAGCAAACACACTTTTCTAAAAGTCTGCAGAACAAAGCCAAATACATGTATCCATTTTATCAGACCACATTTCCTTTCATCCAAAAACTCTACAATCATCAGTAAAAGAAAAGCACCTGGAGTAAAGAGTGGGGAATATTGACCAGATATCAAACAAAAGGTGGTGTGGTTGATTTGTTAAACGTACTATAAATGAGCACACATGCCAATCCGATGCATGAACCCAATGGAATTCCAGGTATCAGAAATGAATATCAGGTCATATACGACTCATAAATATCTGTGCTGGTCTGGTATAATACAGTATCGGATAACCCGATCACTGACAACGGTTTATGAATCGCTCCTGAATCCTACGGACTAAAGTAAAATCCGGTTGGTTCCAACCTCCAGAAAGGAACTTGCTTGTCGATTCAAGAATGGGAAATTTTTCTCTTGGTGAGTTAAGAGAGTGCTGTAATGGGCAGTAGTTCTGATGCGTTCATGGGAGATCCGTCAGTGTGCTTGTATGTGTTGTCGGCGACAGACGCCTCTTGCCACTCCACAGTCGAAGTAAATTCAAGCCTCTTATGGGCTGTAACTCAAAAGCCTCCGGTTCTATCTTTGTATTAAAGTGAGCGAGATGGCTCAAGTGGTTAGAGCGCGAATCTACTAACTGGAAGGTCCGTAGTTCGAACCCGACCTGTGCCTCTCGACTTCCCCCGTCTAGGCTTGGGCAACCTTGCAGTATCCCAGCCCTCGTGCTTCCTTCGGGTACTAGGCAGCTAGGCACCGGAAGGGTGCTACAGCTGAACGCGCTTGTATTCAGAGTTCAGCTGCGCCATACCTGAACTACATCCCCGTCAATTTGTAATGGACTGTCGTGTCGTATTTTATGTTTTTGTATTATTGAAAAATGTACTTAATGTAAATATGGACAGATGTCCCATCTAAACACTACGGACATTTCCAAAAATTAAGGGCGACTTGCTGCAAAGGTCCAACTGACTAGTGGCTAGCCAACTTACAAATGATGTAGGCCACCTGGATAACTTCCACATGCAATGAGTCAACCATTTGGCTGTCCCTGCAGCATTTGGAAACCGAGCCGACAGCCGGGCATGCTGATGGTTTCAGAACTATCCATTCTGCTCATCATATGCTCTTACGCCGTGGAGCTTACACATAGCCTATACCCAAAAACCTAAATCTATTTTATGTCCCGTGTCCAGTGCATGTCCCCCACTGCCGAGTCTTCCATTAACGCTCGATATTCATCTGCATTTCTCGGTTTTATTATTCTTTTAGTTGCTTTATTTTTATTGGTTTATTCTTTTAGCGTGCCCTCCGATTCTGGTGTGGTTCCTTGGCCGTGTGTGCTACATCTTATAAGACAACCATTATGTTGGCCAAAGAACATTTAGGAAGCCTGCGTTGACCACCTTCCAACTGCCTTAGCATGAACCGGGTTGGACCTCTTAGGAAACATGTAAATTCGTCCTTGAACCCCACTGAAAGGCCCCCAAGTGGCTTCCGCCAAAGAAATATTATTATTCCTGGTTTTGAAACGACAATGGCGAGCATGTACAGGCAGCTCCGACGGACTAGGTGTATGAGAACAAACAAAGTTCAGCAGCCTTACACGAGTTTTCCTCAAGCTGCCACCTTGCAGCTGGCACTAGACAATGCTAGAAATGCATCCCCGAACAAAATTCGAGTGGTGCTGGAGAGGCACCTCGTAAGAAATCTCCAAGAAACTTTATGGCATGTATCTCGTCAGTGACTCCTGCTACAAAGTCTCAAGTAAGCGGCAAACACTCAGCTTCCCCGGTGGCTGGGATGACCAGAAGGCAAGCGGACAGACCCCCTCACGACGGGTGTTGGGATGTAATAGCCCTCTTGAGTGTTAAAGACCAACCCATTATTATACGTGTCTTTCGTGATTATCAGTTCGACTGAGTCTGTTTATCAGTCTAAATACTTGCAAACGAGTCGAATTGAATCATCCAGCTGTACCATCCCTTCGCTGCCTAGCCTCCACGCCATCCGGATCAAGCACGAAGGGCGATATACTGCCAGTTTGTCCAGGCCTAGACAGGAATGGTCGAGGTGCAAAGGCTGGATTGGAACCACAGATCTTCCGGTGAGCGAATTTGCGCTCTAACCACTCAGCCACCTCAGGTTTACAGTCTTCTTAAAATTCAGATTCCTGGAACAAATCCTATTCCATATCGCAGTCGCCCAAAAGATATCGCAATCAATAACCAGGTTCAAGAAAAGCGCATTGGGTATTCAAACCGAGCAACTTCAAGATTGCGCTGAAAAAGTCGGAAAGCCCATCATTCAACATCAGTATTGTAGCGGCATATGCAATAGCAATCAACTCCGAGCAGCAGCATCTAAACACCTGTTGGTAAATGACTGGGGAGTCATTTGCTTATGGCCACCAGCAACTGAACTTCAATAACAGGACCTTGTGATACTTTAACACTTTAAAAGGCACGGTTTTGGCCTTGGTTGTGAAAGTGTCAGTAGGTTTGTTGACTTCGATAACTTAATCGGTTGTGCGTCAACAACACGCGCTTCCAACAGTTTAAAAAGCACCCATTAACTTGGTACTCAAACTATGACCAAAGCTCACCAAATAGACCAAATCTTCGTGGAACCGAGATAGACTCCGTGCACAAAAGATTCTCGCTCATTCAGAGAAGCAGAAAAAGGAACCTAGGAGAACCAGATCACAATCTTGTGCGTCAAAAACTTAGAGCTCCGCTTGAAAACTTGTTTGACAACGCGTCCTATTGTGAAATACAACACCGCCCATCTTGACTGCCCAGATAAGCAACAATCTGATGTCGTTGGCAGAAACCTCAGAGTAAGTCTTGTAATATATAATCATATTAACAAACGATGGCCGCGTATAGTAGGCAAGATTCGGGATAATACTGCTAACCGCCTAGGGACCCGCCACGAGGACGGGACTGGAAATCGGAGCACACCATGCGGTTTTCAGGCCAAGTCAGCGAGTGTCAAACGCGTCAGAACACTCCACCTTCAATCGTCGAAGTCTGTCTGGAACGACCGAATTCGCCAGTATAGGAGCTGCGTGAAATCCCTGTTAATGTACGCGGTCAATCCGCCTTCTGCAACAAGCTTCCGGAAAAAGACTGCCTACTCAGCCTACTCAGCCTACTAAACGCACTGCATATGACGGAATCATGGACGGCGTTGGTAGAAAACTGACCCCATAGACAAAGCATTTCGAACGACTCCTTGATAGCACATGTCAGCATGCGTCACCACCCACCACTGTGTACAATGTCGCAGAAGCCCAATAAAGCCGTGTTTGAAGCGCGAATTTATCGAGATGAAGGTCCGTGGTTTGAACCCAACCTCGGCATCTCGACTGTTTCCGTCTAAGCTTTCGTAAGCTGGCATGATCACAGCGCTCGTGCCTACTTCGTGTAGCATGGATGCTAGACGCAGCTGGAAGACGATACCGCTCCTCGAAAAAGCTCACTTTCCATTTACTTGGATGCATACAGTGGCCAGTGAAAAGTAGAGTATTGACAACTGTTTTTGTTAGTACCAAGAGAAGGTCATTTCAGTCCGGTGCTCTGTGGACGTAGCTTTACAACCTGCTTCTGCAAACGAAGAGAGCATGACATGTGATGGTATTCCACATTCTCTATAAGTCGAAGGGTGATGAAAAAACAGTTAGATCCACACAGTCTCGATCGGCGATTTGCTCCAGCTCATCATGGCAGGCATATAATCCACCCATTTACAAAAACGATTTTCACTAGAACACATTCTTCTTTTTGCAGGGTGTGTGGAAGACACAAATTAACTTCCCCATATGAAAAATGTGTTTTTACCGTTCAGGATTGGCTTCTTGGGATTTCATAGTCATCATATCATTCTTCGGTGGGTGAGCTTCGGAGTAAGTTCATCATCATTGTCAGCTGTAATAACCGCGTACTTGTCATACAGTGATTGTAGCTGTCACAGTTTCGTTCACCGATGATTCGTGGAGGTGAGGTAGGTAGCTGCGCGGGAGCTGATAGATTAGTGCGTGAATACGGCACTGTAGGTAAACCGTTAAGTGGGTGATTAAAAAGGGAGCTATGGATTGAAGACAATAGCTTGGATGCGTGAGCGCCATTGAGGGCGCGACTGGGCCATGCCTGACAATGTCTCTAACCATTGATATGGCCCGTCTCAGGGTCCTCATCCAGGAAGACGGCAATGACCAGCGCAGCTGAGTTCGCTGGTGATGGCTTTTATACATCACCGCCAAGTAATTGTCTGACCGTCTCTGTCTAGCCATTCAGAATCTCCGATGGTGTACACTCTTTTGCGTATTCCATATGATTATATAACCCGAGTATATGGACTTCAGATGCTACAGATAGGCCCAGCAAGAAAGTGAGTGATGGCCATGCGTTGCAGGCGACGGCGAGATCGGTTAGCCGACAACAAGTTGTTCTGTTTGGCTGATCTGGCAGAGGATGACAGACACGTGTCATGACCATCAGCATCGTAAGTTGCAGCAATACGCCAGGACTACATACTGGCGCCTGACTACCATGCAACCATGAGAAAGAAACCCGTAGCAAAAATTGGGAAGAAAAAAGGAGGATGGGAAGTTAGTGCGGAAAACTCTTGTGTCTTTATATAAACGATCAATAATAAGGTGCCTACACATTTGGACATTTAAATGCACAAATCTGAGAACGACGTGAACTTAAGGTAACATCAGCGGGATAGCCCCAGCGTCCGTTGCGAAAAAACAAATAAATAATCGCTCAGCTTTAGCACCCTTTCGGTGCCTAGCTGCCATGCCAACGGGAGGCACGAGGGCTGGGAGATATTGCCGGGTTGTCCAAGCCTACCAGTCGAGGTGCTGAGGTTGGGTTCCGGCCAGTATGCTGAACAAGGAGGGAGGGTGGATGAAGGGAGGATCTGGAGTTAGCCTACCGCAAGCACTCCGAGGTGCGGGCTGCAGCCTTACTGCGTTCGGTCTTATCACAAAGGAGAGTACGAGGTTACCCACATGGTACCTCGTAATACGATTTCCCGAAGTAGTCCGACTCGCTGTTCTTCGTCGGGCTGTTCTCCGTTGGCCCTCCTGGCATCGCTGTACCAGTGTAGTCCGTAGGATAATTGCAGCATTGCAGCCCGACCTCTATGACAAGGTGACAGCTTCAAGTTGACAAGTAGATAAATCTGTCTACCTTGGCATTCATATAAGTTCCGACGGACTGGCTGAAAACAAGGTTACATCTCGAATCGACTGGGCCAGGGAAGATTGCCAAAATGCGACACCTATGGCACCAGTGTAACGTAAGCTCGTTCGTCAAGAGTAAAGTATACAGAGCGGCGGGGCGATTTACACTGCTGTATGGGTCAGAAATGTGTTCTCTACGCGCACAAGACTTACGATAACCGTCATTGTTTGGCTGTATTAACAGTGCTGACGTACTCCGGGTGGTTTTAGGAGAAAGGAACTCCCTCACGAGGGATGAGCTACTCATGCTTTATAGGTCACGCCGATTAAGATATGTACTTCGCAGGGTAGGGGACCACCTGTTTCGCATAGTCCAGTTTGTCTATTCCTGAATTAGAAGAAAGCGACCAAGAGGTTGGCAGCCTATGAGCTGGCAACGAATCATGAAAACACTAACCAGTTAACTCGGTCGGATCAACAAGTGCCGCCTCCCTGGATAAGGACCCCGGGATTCAACTCATCAATGGTTACTGAAATTTGGGGACATCACTCAATCACGCAGCTGTTGGTATTCATGCAACGAAACCGTTGCCTTAATGCGCGTAGCTGACGTCTTCCATCCCCTTAAAGTAATGCACAATATGTAGCAGCCTCCGCATCACCAGGACGTGAATTCAACTGCAGCACTTGTATTCTGGATTCTTTTTTCTGCCAACGTACATCAATTTGGGTGGAATCAAACTAACGAACAACAGTCGTTTGTTGTCCTGCCTGCATCAGTGTATAAAAACCGACTTCGATGTGTTCAGGATCCCTACTGGAGACGGACGCGGGGATTATGCGTTAGTTACATGGCTGTTTATATGTTGGTCGAGCTTGGCAATTAATTTGAAGATATTTTATGTACAAACAAGGAGACGTCAGTAGTGCGTTGTTGGGTGGGTACCAAGATTGGTGAACCTGATCAACAACTAGTGAACACCAGAGCTACCAGCATTTCGATAGATGGTCAGTTCCAGTGTTGGAACCTGCAGAGCAAGTATCCATTTTGTGGGGTGGTGGGAGAAAAATAGGCGAAATTGTAAGGAGGGTGTCACAAGTAACACGTGTTCGCCTATCCAACGTGTTCCATACAACTGAAGCCAACCAGCTGATGACACCACCCGATGGGCAATAGTGCGGACAAAACCGCATGCCATTGAAATGTTATGACCGTTTGGTCTTTTACTGTCTTTTTTGTACTGGTACCTATTTCATGTAATGACGATTCTAACCACCTCGGAAAACTGAGAGTCACTTTTCTATTAAATCCATCACATTTTGTTTTACAAAACTACCACCCCGAGGGATATACCGCGCAATTAACTTGTACCAGCATGTTGCTGAGGCAACTCGTTTAGTGCTGGATGGGGCAAGGTCAGTGAGTGACTCGATCGGTCTTTTGGTTTTTCAAGCAGCGGAGTCAATGCTTTCTTAACTTTGCGCACCTAATTAATCCCCCTACGGACATTCTCCGTTTAGCACGATGTTCACGTATACAGAGCGCCAAAAAAGACCATTTTTCAATGTAGCCTCCGACACGAAACGCGGCCGAAAAACAACACTTTACCTGACGACATGAGACTCGAGTGTGACTGTAGGTGCCATTCTGCTACATCATACTGAAGGACAGAAGCACTCATGCAACCGTTTGATCCAAGTGCCTGATACCAGTGGAGTCAGGCTACGCTGTTTTCGGCCGTGAGCTAACAGTTGTCAATGTAACGATACAAGAAATGCTGGGAAGTCAAGCACATACAGAGTTAGCCAATGAAAAACCTCTGATAAACACTCTCCAGGCGGTCTGGCAGGTGCTGTTGAAGAAAATCCCACCGTCTTTATTACATTACACAACAAATTATCAGTAAAGGGCAGTTCGATGACTCCAGAAACCTCATGTTACTATGAAATCATCGTCGCTGAAGCATAGATGAACGATAGAGGTAGAGAATCTGCGCAAATCAAGCCCTCTCCGCTTAGTATGTACGGAACACGTTTACACACCAGAAAAGATAGTCCGCGCATTCCTTGAACGCTAGGTCACTTAACTTGGCTATTCCCTGGATCCCATTTTGAAACAGGTTTCGGCGACATATTGACAGTTTCAAAAGTGAGAGGAAGTGAGGCTGATGCTATTACCACAACCTCGTAAACAATTTCTCGTTAGTTCGTCCTATATAAATTGGACCTGCACGATTAATATCTCATTTTCGACTGTATAGTTATACATTGTCGCTGAATGGCGCCTTAGGCATCACTGATTTGTGTCAAAACACTCCCATCACATGCATGTGGAGACCGTGTAAGTCACCATGGATTATACTTAAAAAAACGTTACACCTTAGGCAAAGACGGAGTACCACTGGGACAGACACTTGAAAACGCTGTTGCAGTGCATATGAACTAAATTAAGGTTCTACTCGTTGCTGGAGCCTTTCGATAACTCCTAATAGGTACTCCCTCCCGGAAGAAATTATCGAACCAAAGATTCCTTATCCCATACCCAATTTCGTACAACCGTTTTGTCGCAAGATGCTGTCACCTTGGTACCGGTAATAAGCACGCATCTCATGCCGCCTAGCTCAACAATTAACCAGACACAGTAATCCCGCCCCAACACTTGCAAATTCCCGTCGAATTCCTAAACTAGGGCGCAGTTGAAATCGCGCGCCACTGGAATGCCCTAATGTGTTAGTGTTCACTTCATGAGCTGACGATTCCATTCAGCTACGAAACCCAAGAATTCCTACTTTCCCGTGTGTATCACATGTCGCTTTATGAAACCTCATCCCCATAAAACATAGAACATCTTGAATATGCCAACCAAGTTGTGCATCAAGAACCTAACCGTCATCGAGCATGTGTAACGAGTTGCTACGAGCTGCTGGCCTTAAACCAATTGGCTATTAAACGTGTCTCGCGGTGCTTAGCCTACTACCCCTGGAGTCTCGTTGCCACCGAGGGGACCTAATACTCAATTTTATCCTATTTGAACAAGGCATGTCCAATAGGCTTTTCACCGTTGGCCCAATTAACACAAGGGAGAGATATGGTAAAAAGACTCAAGCTCGGAGTGCACATTTTTATGAGGCAACAGTTTTCTCCATCCAGGTAATTGATGCGTGGAATAACTTTTCCTGCCGACTGTTCACGTTGCATCTACTACCTCGTTGCTGGAGCCTTTCGATAACTCCTAATAGGTACTCCCTCCCGGAAGAAATTATCGAACCAAAGATTCCTTATCCCATACCCAATTTCGTACAACCGTTTTGTCGCAAGATGCTGTCACCTTGGTACCGGTAATAAGCACGCATCTCATGCCGCCTAGCTCAACAATTAACCAGACACAGTAATCCCGCCCCAACACTTGCAAATTCCCGTCGAATTCCTAAACTAGGGCGCAGTTGAAATCGCGCGCCACTGGAATGCCCTAATGTGTTAGTGTTCACTTCATGAGCTGACGATTCCATTCAGCTACGAAACCCAAGAATTCCTACTTTCCCGTGTGTATCACATGTCGCTTTATGAAACCTCATCCCCATAAAACATAGAACATCTTGAATATGCCAACCAAGTTGTGCATCAAGAACCTAACCGTCATCGAGCATGTGTAACGAGTTGCTACGAGCTGCTGGCCTTAAACC